TATTGCATATGTCTTCATGGCGGGAAAGACCTCGAATATCCAAATCTACAAACAATATAATAACAAACATTAGTAATTATTAAATAATTAATTATAATTTTGAAAACATTATATAGAAATTCTTACCTTAAAGGCCCAAACAAAGCTTGACAAAGTGTATTTCGACCCATCGCCCCGCAAACTTTTGCGGTCATCAAAGGCAGACGACAACTTAGTCCAGGTAGCTTTCCATATATACAAACCCCACGGAAACATATTCCATGCATTTAGGTCCTCTACCAATAATATTAGCTCCTGAGAAATAGGTTGTCTGGCCTCTCTACCTAAAAAGCCGGCATACAAAAGTAGTAGAAGGCATATTCGGACAACATCGACGTCATTCATCCGAGTAAAACCATCTTTCTTATTAAACAATTTCTTCATGTCGTCGACGTGTAAGTTTGGCTTCTCTATTGACTCATCAGGAAAAACCCTGGATAACCATGATGGGCGGGTGATATGACGAGTGTACCGGCCTACATCATCGTGTCTGAATCGTAGACCAGTGATTAAGCAGAACTCCTTCCGCCCAAAACAAGTATACGCCGGTGGAAAATGAAACCATATCTCTTCCTCACCACGTTGTATACTGTCGGGTAGATCGCTAGTCATGGTCTGAAGCCACAAATGGGTCAAATTAGCATCTCCACCCGGATGCTGTACTCTCAGCCATGGCCCGAAGCAGGTTTCCTCAAACAATTTTCTTTGTGCAGGTGAAAGCTTCGAAGCAATTGTAGTGGCTAGGCTAACTTTATTCCTTAATGTCAATGAAGCCGAAAAAAATTTCTACAAAAAAATAAATATACCAAGTTAGATATACCAAAAACTACACTGTCAAGATATACCAAAAACAATAAACATAAATAGTAGTTTATTCTTGAAACTAAAATTTGCAACACTGTTTTGTCTTTTGGTTGAAATGAAAATCGCAACGAGATAATGAGAATCGCAACGCGGAAATGACTATCGCAACGAGAGAATCGCAACGCGAAATGACTATCGCAACGAGAGAATCGCAACACGAAATGAAAATCGCAATGCGATTTTGGTTTCGCGTTGCGATTTTTATTTCGCGTTGCGATAGTTATTTCCGCGTTGCGATTTTTATTCTCGAAACTATTCTTCTTCTGCATTACTTCAACCAAAAGACAAAACAAAGACAAATACTAACTTCACAGGCTAAACAGTTTAGCAGTATTGGCAGCAATCGAATGAATTTAATAAGAAATCTAAGTGAAATGGTTAATCTATTATTGAAATTACCAGTAAACTTATCATCAATCTCAATATGAAAAACCTAAAATAATGCAAAAAATTCAAAATAAAAAATAAAAAAAACTAACCCTCGGAGGTTGATTTTCTATTTTTGAATGATTGTGAGGGATTTTTGACTGTGAATGGTTGTGAGGGATTTCGCCGGCGATGGGGACGGAAATCTTCGGAGATGGGGACGGATTTCGCCGTAGATAGTGAGAGATGGAGATAGGACTGAGTGTTGTGATTTTGGGTTTGAGGTTATGAGTTGCGATTACTGTGGACGGTTCAGTTTCCGATTTATTAAGAAAAAATTCGTGTTTGGAATTTGAAAAAAAAATACGCGTTAATACGAATGGCGCTATGTAAATCGCATTGCGATAGTAAGATTCGCATTGCGATTTACGTATTCGCATTGCGATTTTCCTAATTCGCGTTGCGATTTACTAAATCGCGTTGCGATTTACTAAATCGCGTTGCGATTTACGTATTCGCATTGCGAATTATGAAAATCGCAACGTGAATACGTAAATCGCATTGCGAATTAGGAAAATCGCATTGCGAATAGTCAGTATCGCATTGCGATTTACTTATTCGCATTGCGAATTGGGAAAATCGCAACGCGAAATTGGAAAATCGCATTGCGATAGTCATAATCGCGTTGCGAATCTGGAAACTGATTTGCGATAATGAAGATTGCGTTGCGAATTAGCGATCGCATTGCGATTTTGTTGGTCATTTTGGCAAATCCGAAAAAAATTGGTTAAAATCGTATATTATATATGGGATTTTTGGTCACTGAGGTTATTTTCTCTTATTTGAATGAATGAGATTCTCTTTGCCTAATTCATGACCAATTAGCTATGCATTCTCCAGTGCGGTAGTTTAGTCTTTAGTTAGAACTGTGTAAGCCGGCCCGGTATGATCAGCTTAGTCCAGAGAAGTTTAGACAATGTGAATTGCACACCGGGTCGGCTCGATTTGGTTTGAATAAAAATCCTAATATGAGAATTAATCTTTTATTTTATGTATTTTCGGGTTGACATTGTTACATTAACAATAATAATTAAAATATTGATATCTTTTAGATATGCTGGATATTATAATTTAATTTTTCCTTTTAAAATTGAGAAACAAATGCTAGAAGGTCGTACTTAGACAAGGATAATTTCAAAAAATCATCAATATTTACCGATAATTTTGTTTTAATATATATTTTGCTTTAAATTTGAAATTAAAATGTAATAAAATAAAAAATACAAGGATTACAATATCAATTTTTAAAATAAGTTTTTTTTAGTGAGAACGATGCGTTTTAAAGAATTAAATTTTGGTTTGAACTACAAGTACGGTGTAAATTTTAGAAATTTATACGCGGACACATTGTCATTATTTTCAGCTTTTTGCCCTAAAAATTTTGTTTAATTTAACCTTTTATTTTGAATTTTGAATTTTTTTGGTTATTTTTGAATCTTTAACTTTATTCTTTTTTAATAGCTACACTTAAAATAATAATAATAAATTATTTCTAGTCCTATACTTTTTCCTACATTTTAATCCCAAAAATATACTAATATCATCCTTAATGACGAACAACTTCATCAATCTTTGTAAAAATTATTCAAACCTCTTAATAGAATCTGAACAGCATTATTTCCCTACAAGAATTCAACAATAATATTTTCATTATCTAGCCTGTTTTTTAACATATAATTAAATTGTGAAATCAAGAAATATTCTTTGATTTTTTATTTGATTTGATTGTATAAATCGTTTTCTCTTGTAAATTATATTCCCATGATATAACACCAATAATTCAGCCTTTGAAGACTTTGTTCTCCCCCCCTCCCCCCTCAGTTCCCATACAGCAGGTAGGAGAAAACAACTACTGTGATTCTTTCAAAACAATTCTAGAATATTAGGTCATCCAAGCACGTGATTTAGAATTTGACTTTCATTTTCCAAGCTAAAACTTGAATTGTTGACCACCAAGAGGGATTCAAACTGCTATTGTTCCATTTAATCAGGAGATGCTATGGCAATGCCTCCCCTCTACTTCTGCTCCTAGCATAAACTATCACAATTAAAATAAAATCAATTCAATCTCAACAATAAATTACAACGGCTAAATAACAATTTAAATATATTTAGATTTAGGATAAAAATATTGACAAAATTTATAACAAAATCTAAATAAAAATAAAAATTAAAAATAATTCACATATAGTTTATTCAAGACGAATTCGAATTTAAAATATTAAAATTCTCAAATCCTCTAATCATGCTCTAATGAAACAATGCAACATATGATTAAAATGTTACGCATAAAAGCACACAAGAGAAGCCAATGGCGTTGCTAATTTCGTTGCAAATCAGATGTGGATTCGACAGGAAGACACCGTATTTCTACAAACCCATCCGAGGGAAGTGGAAGAAATGCTAAAATCTGATATATCGGTCAGCTAGGCTGATTTTGTAACCCCATTTCTCAACCAAAAAAAAAAAAAAGCAAACTAAATCCTATATCAAATTGTATATAAATCATTTTTTATGTGGATAAAATTATGTAGTGATTCATTATGATGATATTTTCAGTTCAATTTTCTTTATTCATAATGTATGAATAACTGAGTTCGAAATATTAACCTCCGTTTAAAATTGACTGTATTATCTTATTAAAACAATCAATAATTATACATTATTGAATTGAATTTTGGATTATTAAACATAGTACAGAACTCTAACTTTGCAGCCTTAATTTAAAAAGGAAAAAGGAAAACCAACAATTTAGTTTGATTAATCTCTAAACTCAGAAGTAATGATTGTAGAGAATTTAAGTGGTAAGTCAAATCTTGGGGCAAATATTTTAAATTTTCGTGGAGCAATCATCTTCATTAGCAGACATTTGCCTGCCTTAGATGATAATGGCCTGAACATGTACTCTTATCTTTATACTATTTTTGAATTGTTATTACCTACTAATGAAGTCAGAGATGATGCACTCTTCTTCCAGAAACAAAAGAAAAAGAAACAAAAGTTTTTGACATTCATTTCATCAACCCTTTATTTAGAGTATGACTTAGTTTACACACTTTTATATTCTTTTCAAACCTAGACCGTAAAAAGTAAAGGGTATATTACACCTGTAGACCTTAAAATATATCTATATTTAAGGATTAGGTTATTTGTCTAAAAATGAATAATAGTCAATAACCCATTTCACGAAGAAAATTTGGTTACCTTCTTGTTTTTCAAAATCGAACTTGCATAACTCAAGTTTTGAAATGGAAGTGTCAAAAAGGTCCTTAAATGCAAAAGACAACGACAAGATTGACCTTTAAAAGTCTATCCACCATTGTTGAAAATAAAACGCGAGTGTTTTTCATGTTTCATACGTGTATAAATATTATTAAATATTAAAATATATAAATATTATCTTTTTATTTAATAAAAATAATTTCATAAACTATCATTGCATTTCCATGAAAACTTTTGATGGATGGGGTGCGTTTGAAATTTTAATGAAATTAAAGACTTTTTTCTAATTTGATTGAATGAGGTTCTTTTGTTCATAAGAGTCAATAATTTGACTTTCACCCGAAAAAATCAGCCAAGTGGGACGAGACGACTCCAAATTCACATTATTTAAGAAGTTTCTTTATATATATATAATGTTTTCCAAGGCTAGCTAGCTTTCCCCGTATGATTGATGGATGCTGGTTCATGCACTGTACACACAAAAGTTGAACGATTAATACTTTAGGTAGCTCCGGGGATCAAGATCAAAGAAGATGAACGTTGTTCAAGGAGTTAGTGATAACAAGGTCGTCGAAGAAGATGTCCCACTTCCTGGGTTTCGGTTTCATCCTACTGATGAAGAGCTTGTAGGGTTTTATCTTCGACGAAAAGTTGACAAGAAACCACTCAGAATAGAGCTGATCAAACAGGTTGACATCTACAAGTTTGATCCATGGGATCTCCCAAGTATGTTCTAACCTACTTTCTTTCATTATTATTCAACATGTGTAAACGTATATATATGGGAAAAGGGATTTGCAGACTTCCTTTGTATGATTGGAATTTTCCAAATAAAAGGTAGCTTTGCAGATCTTAAAATTTTTATATGAGAGTAAAGAAAATTATTGCAGAAATCGATTAAGATTAATGAACTTGTCGCAGAAAAAAAAGTGGAGAAAGGATAATTAAAACCAAATTTCATCCAACAATATACTTTTTGTATTTCATGCACTGATAGCATGAAATTAAACACTATAAGCGCATCCAAAATAAAATTTTAGTTTATAAAAGTGAATTAAACGTTGATGTTTTTTTGATGGAATGAAGCAGGAGCTAGCATGGCGGGAGGCGGCGGAGAGAGTGAATCATATTTCTTCTGCAAACGAGGAAGAAAATACAGAAACAGCGTGAGACCAAACAGGGTAACCGGGTCTGGTTTTTGGAAAGCAACCGGTATTGACAAGCCTGTTTATGCAAAATCATCGTCACCAGGCCAAGGCCATGCCTGCATTGGCCTAAAGAAAACTTTAGTGTATTACCGCGGAACCGCCGGCAAAGGAACCAAAACTGATTGGATGATGCACGAGTTCCGCCTTCATACCGACAATAGTAAAATCGTTGTCGCCGGCTTTTCGAATCCGAAAATAGTTACACAAGAAGCTGTAAGTCAAAATATTGTTCAAGTAGGGTTAATGCATGCTTCGTTTCAATCATACAATAAAATTATGACAATTTTATTACGTTATCGGGATTGTAGGAAGTATGGACCATATGTCGAATTTTCAAGCGAAATTTCTCGGTAAAAAAACACAGATCAGATTGGAGACAACTCGCAGCAAAAAAAGCTTCAGCTGCCACACAAATTAGCTCTCAAACATGTAGTACGGAATCGAACAGCCATGGGAACTACATTAGCTTCGGTTCTCCAATGGTTGAAGGTTATTGTAATGACGAGAAGCCATGGATGCATGCGAATCATATGATCAATGGAAGAAGCCAATGGTATGATAATATTGCAGACAAAATGAGTGCAGTAGCTCAAATACCTTCATCAATGGAGTCGTCTTCTAGCTTTTCGAATTGTCCGGAAAATGATTTCTTCATTGATGCTAATTGGGATGAGCTGAAATCGGTTGTGGAGTTTGCTCTTGAGCCCTTTCCTGTGTAAATAATACTATTATAGAGTGAGTTAGTTTCTAATTTATATAAGCAGACTTGGATTCCTTCTTTTGGATTTCTCATGTAAATTGTTTTCTTTAACTTTGAAACTTCATTTTTTTTCCAAATATTTTATTTACAATGTACAAGTTAGGAAATCATCAAATATTTATTACGATATCAAATATTGGAACTATATTTTAATTTTTTTTGAAACATTTGATGAAATAAAAAAAACTGAAGCTAGCAGTCATATGGGTTGCTCGTAATTGACTCTATTAATAAAATGATTGGATTATTAGTTTCATAATAATTTGGGGCCTTAGAATAAATAAGTCAGAGATCGGATGCACACACACATATTAATTATAATTATAAATTACAGGACATACTTGTTCATTGTTCAACTGTTCATAATTTTTCTTTTGCAAAAAATAATATCAAAATCTTTTCAATTTGTTTCAACTTTCAAACCACGTGGCTAAAACTTATCCAAAATTAACAACGTAATCGTTTTGTTTTGCATCGTCGAACAAATATACAAACCTACTAAAATATTATAAAACAAATTATTTACTTAAAAAATCTGTAATACTCGGAATATATAAAAACAATATAAATACATGGGCACAAGTTTTATATTTAGCTTCTCTTTTTTCTAGTGTTATTATATTATAGATATATATTTTTTAATTAAAGGTGTAGGTTTTATGTTTTGTACGAAATTATTATTTTTATGTATTAGGACAAGTGATAAATTTCAAATTAAAGTAAATCTAGATTCCAATCTACACTACAATTAAAATCATTCTTAAATATCTGGAAAAAAAACAAAAACTAAAAGATACACTAAGAAGACTTGCATCAACTAAAGCAAAAGCCTTTCACTCTTACAGGATATCTGGAAATCATTCGTCGTTTCCATGGTGTCGGGTTGGTGTTCGTGTTTATGTAGCATGTGTACTCCGTCATGTTCGGAGTATGCAGTATTCCCTATACATGCTTCTATCATGTTCTTTTGTGTTATCACCTTTTATTATGCATTTGTATGAACATCTCCTACCTTGAGCCATGAATTTGTATCCAAGCCAGCTTTATTGCCAGGATCATACCTCAGCAATATGGCAAACAAAATCTTCCCCTGAATTGATCGAAAAACTTTATATCACTCGCATTGCAGTTGACAAACCGAAAAAAAGCAACCGAAATTGATTTTAGATTTATTATAGCTAACCTTCATTCTCCTGTATGATGCTAGAGTTGCCAAAGGTTCATTTGTCTTCTTCACTTGCCCAATTTGCTGGTAAAAATTGATCATCTGACATCGGTTGCAACCGCCTAATGACTGCGGAACAAATGTTTATTAGGAAACACAGGCCATGTTTACATCGCATAAACAATAAGGTTTTATATTTATTCGATTTTTGGAAACAAAAAGACAATGTCGTCTGGAGTGGTCTATTTGCGCTCCAGATGATATAGGAAATTAGACTGTGGATGTAATTTATCACTTTAAAGAACATAGAAAAATATTAAAATAACATATCTAATAAAACTGAGAGCAAATTTAGAGAATTCACTAAAACCATGAAGAATCTAAACCGAATGCCAATTTCAGCTTCTTGCATGATAATAAAAGAGTTCATTGAAAATCATACTCGAGGATAGTCTATTGTTGAGGTCAGATACACTTTCCTCGGAAATCAATAAGAACTGAGCTTCGTTTGCAAAATTCACCCTGCTGTTGACATCTCTGCACATACCCACACTTCTGTTCTTCTTCGAAGAGCAGCAATACTCGGACTGGCAACACCGCCCTAAAGTGCAAGGTTGACGAACAGCATTACTAAACCATTGATTTATTTCGTTTTCATAACATTGGACTTCGTATCTGATAATCAAGAAATAACCAATATGTTGCAAGACAAAATCAGAATTTAAGAAATTGGTCTATCCAAGATCCCAAGACAAGGTTTTTGAAAGCCAGTCAGTCCATGACCCACAGACACCTCCACACTCAGCCATTCTCCAAAAATATTTAACTTGACTTAATAATGAAAGAAAATGAAGATTCATTTGATCGTACCGCACCTTTGATTATGCAAATGAAACTCTTCTTTCTCAAAAAAAGAAGAATTAGAGTCTAGTTTGATCTGTAATTTCTTTCTGCAACGGGGTGACTCTACAGACAATATCTGCTGCTTAAGGTTAATGAAGGTATTAATGAGGGACATTTCAGGAACCTACAAAAGAAAACAGGATAAAAATTAATTTATCTAAAAAATTTCATTGGAAAAACAAATTCCTGTCCAAAAATAGATACTTGCTATGACATTTGATTCTTCTAGAAGTAACCATGTCCAACATATATCCGAACATGTGTGTGAGGATATGAACTTTCAAAACCCCTCCAATACATGGAAAAAACCAACTGTTTGGAAACACGCTCGTATCCAATACTCATTCCCGTGTTCAAGTAACACAGGTTTAGTACCAGGCTCATTATCTATATTAAGTTGTTCAAAGCCATGCATTTTCAAAGTATGGAATCTCATTCATCAATACATTCCAGGTCGACGAAATGCAGTAATCATAAAATAGAGTATCCATTAGTCATTAAAGAAAAGAGTAAGAAAGCAATGACAAGAAAACCGGACCAAAGAGATTGTTAAATAAATGAGTGTCCCCCCCCCCTCTTTCAGTCTGTCAGATTACCTAATAACATTGTTCGGTCACGTACAATTTTTGGAAACATATCCTTCCCAGTTCCTAAAGTTTCCTACTAACAAAACAATGGAAGCCTTTACTCCTTTTTCTTTCAGACTCTTCAATTCTAATCTCTATAACTATTTCGTGTTTTCTAATAACATATATTCCCTAAGGAATGACCATAATGCACGGAATACTTTCATGTTAACACAGGTCCATACTAAAGCTGTTGGAAGACGGGCTTTTTAAGCAAGTCATAAAATGCTGCTCAAACAGAGGTTATTCAATAGTTTTCAGCAAGCTTATCAAAGAATTAACAAATAGAATTACCCTGTATTTCAAACTATCTAAGAAGAATATCCACTAAGAAGCATGCCAGTCACCCTATTTTTCATTGCACAAAAAATGAAGTATTAACCAATAATTAGGATAAAAAATATAAATCTACAAAAACAACAGCATTCAGAGGTACAGGATTCTTCTAAGCAGAGAGACTATTAACCTTCTTTTGTGTGAGAATTTCGCCACTCAACCTTTTAAGAAGCCATTTCGGTCATATTGCAGACCTGCATTGACAGGGAATAGTGAACAGACCTCTTAGTTCTACATCATAGAGGAATCAGCAAGCAAAGATCACCCATGCATGCATGCACAAAGAGCAACAACGAACCAAAAAGCTGAATAACCATTATCACGACAATGTAGAAATTTGTGTTAACATTATGATGGTACATGATCATAAGGATGTAATGTTTTTATCACACGTCTTGGACAGTATAAAGATAGTGTTATCACAATGGGTAATAACAAAATTTTTGAAATGAGAAACTATAACATACAAACATAAAAAACCATCAACTTCATTATAAAAAATTCAGCTTGAGCTTTTGGCTATATGGACAGAAGGAAAATAAAAATATCGTATTGGTTTAACCATGAACTGCTAAAGAAGCCAATGTCCTAACCATAGAGATAACGACAGGTTACCAGTATTGCTGAGAGGCCAATTTTTCACACTGAAACCTGCGCATGATTTTATTGGATAGATGTTTATGGACATAAGGCAGCTACCAGAACTTGATAGTTGATCTTCAGAGCCTATCGTTCAGAAACAACAATATGTTACGACATAAAAACAGAAAAGCCAGTACCAGAAAATCTACACAAATTGTCATACTGATAATCATGGGACTCTATGCCACATGATTAGAAGACTATTTAATGTCATTTGCAACTTTTGTACAAAGTTATAATAGAAATAGAAGGCCATTCCTCTTAAAAGAAAATAAAGTGATGCACCATGCAAAACTTAACGGAGAATGTACCGGCGGTCTCTGTATAATGGTACATCAAAAAAGTACAGGTATCACAGTACCAAACAAGAAAAATTAAATGATGTATCTACTTACAAAATAAGAATCCATCTACAATAGTACTATATGATAGAGGAGCACCATGTAAAATAAGAACCATATATTCAGAAACTCTCTTCTTCTGCTCCAGCTCTATGCTAAATCTGCGTGATTCGAGTATTGGAGAACAACCAGCAGCCCTTGCCAAGAAGCAACTTTAACTTCGAGTCCATCCGATCTCAGGGCCTCTTGCACTATATCTGGATTGTACATGCTTTTAATCACCCCAACCAAGCACCTTTTTCTCCATTCTAACTCTCCTTTCAAAAGGCATATCTCATTTGCTTTCTGCATCTCTTGGTCAATCGAAAGCTCCGGGATCGACTCCACTATCTTCACAGAGACTTCTTTTAGAAGGGAATCCGTGTTGTTGCATTCCTTTCCTTTAGGGTTAATATCTCCAATCAAAGCTTCCTTAAACGACCTGGAATCTTTCATTGACGAGCGCTTGATCCAAACTTTGACTTTTTCCGCCTTAGGGTTTGGTCTGGGGCTTTTTCGGTTTTCTGACTCCTCATAAACTCTAATGTGAAACCCATCTATCAGCCCGCCATCTCCTTTCGCTGCAACGTTCAGTGCCTCATCCTTGTTCCTATATCTCACAAATGCGAAAGTTAACTTATTGTTGAGTCTCCTCGCATTATTGTGTGCTATAAACACGTCAATAACCACTCCATAAGCCTGAAAAACCTTTCTCAAGTCTGAACGTTGAATTCTTTTGCTAACGTTGTCCACAAAAACTGCGTAGCCCATGCGACGAAAATCTCTGACGACTCCCCGGCGATGTGCTGTTCTCTCCCAACGCTCCATTCTCCTTCTGCGTTCCGGTCGCCATTGACTCCCCTGACGCTTCATCTCCTCTACGCAACTTAATAAAAAAAAATATTCTGAAATTTGCATTTAGGTCCCTTAACTTTTAAAACTTGTAATACAGTTCCTCAACATTTAATCCGTTTATAATATGGTCCCGCACCTATAAAAATTAAAGTAAATTATATAAATGATCACTGAATTTTTTAGGTACTTAAATTTAGGTCCCCCAACTTTTAACTTACAAAACATTCCTCAATTTCATTCTAAACCCTAAATTCCAAAATAATTCAATTACATTCTAAAACCCAAATTATAAAATACTTCAATTTCTGTCTTTTTTTATAAACGACGCCAATGTCACTAAATTATTAATTAATTTACTTTTTATATTTAAAAACAAATGATATTTTTTTAATATTAATTTAAAGACATGAAAATTTTTCAATAGTAAGAATATATGATAATAATTCATTTATTTAAAAATAAATATATTTCTGATTATTTGTGTATGTTTTTATATCTAATCATACGTGTTAATATATTTTATATTTTCATATAAATATTAAGACTACATAAATAGCAGAGTCAAAATTTTATATATGAGTTATGTTAATTATAGTAATGATGTATAAATATATTTTATTTTTATGTTATTTCTATTATAATTAAAATATAAATACTACCATGATAATTAAATATTTATTTACTTATTACATCGAATATTTTATGTAGAAAAATTATTTAATAAAATCATAAAAAACACAATAAAAAATAAACACTGAAGTTGACTACTTCAAAAATAAAATAAAAAAATCAATAATTTAATATAATATACCCTAAGTTGATGATAACAATCAACTCAAAAGATATGGGGTTTGTGCCATATTTTCGTAATGTACGTAAACTTTCTATTTCATGGTCACGTATTCTTTTAGTTCTAGCACGATCTATTTTTTAATTTTTTAAAACACTTAACAAAATTATATTATAACTCGTTAAGTGATTTCATAGGTAAAAAATGTTATTTTCTTTAAAAGTTTTAAATTCAAACAATTGTGTTTGTAGGGTATATCTATATTATTAATAAATTAAAAAAATTGAATAAATACTATCTTATAATCACATCAAACTATTAAAAAACTAAATTATAATTGAAATAAATAAAAATTATAAGGATGTCAATTGAGGATTTTGATTCTTAATTTTTTCATTGAGAGATTGTGTTTTTTAATTCAATTTCTTCCATAATACAACAACAACAACAACAAAACCCTATTCCCATATGCAATGGGGTAAGGGGAGGTAGAGTAGTAGACTGCCCCCAACGCATGGTTAAGAGCAGCTTCCGTGGAAGACCTCCGGCAGTCAGAAAATTAAAAATAAAGATAAAATGCGATGCATGTATAAATAAATAAGTAAATACATATTTGAACAGTCTTCATATACAATCTTCATATGTGCGTCATATAATGGGAAGTAATCCTTGCTAATAAATCCCTGCATAATAATCTCAGCATATAGACAGAAACGTAAGACCAGACTAAAATTAAAGAGAGGAAACATGAAGAGAATGATACACAGAAGTGAACGATAACAACATTAATTCGCTACCCTAGTTCTAAGCCTTCATTAATTCCAATGACAGAAACGTATAAAAAGTAGAAATCATGAGAATTACTATAAAGACATTTAAAAGAAGACAGAAATGCTACACCCTATGGATGTGACCCGCACTAATCGACTACCTTGGTCTTAAGTCTCCATAATTTCCTATCAGAGGTCATGTCCTCGGTAAGGGCTAAATCCTTCAAATCAGATCTTAAGCAATCTTCCCACTTCCGCCTTGGTCGTCCTCTCCTTCTGGCACCGTCGACTCTAATCGACTCTACCCTCATGACCGTATCCGACGGTTGTCGCCTAAGGACATGCCCAAACCACCGTAGTCTTCCCTCTCTCAATTTTTCGGATACATGCACCACCCCCAAGGACATCCTAATAGCAGAGTTTGGTGTCATGTCCCATAGAGTCTTACCACATGCCCATCGAAGCATTCTCATTTCTGCGGCCTCCATCCTCCTTACGTGACCCTTCTTGATTGTCCAACATTCTGATCCATACAACAGCGCTGGTCTTATTGCCATTCTATAAAATTTTTCCTTAAGTTTTTTAGGCACCATCCTGTCACACAAAACTCCAGTAGCTGCCCTCCACTTTAGCCATCCCGCCTTTATACGGTGTGTAACGTCATCATCTACACCCCATCCTTATGTATCATAGACCCTAGGTACTTAAAACAATCATTTGAGGGGAGAACATGTCCTTCTATGCATACTTCTACATCTTCATCGTTTTGGTTCCCACTGAAGTTTGAACATAAATACTCTGT